ATTATTATTATTTTATTTATTTGTTACTGTTGGGTGGCTTTGGTAAAATATCAGACCTTTGACATTTCCCTTTTGAAATAGAAAAAGAAATTGAGGACACAGAGTCCTCAATCTCTTTATCTGCAGCCTAAGCACTGAATAAATGGAAAGCACTCAGAACAAAGACTTCCTATTCATTTACAAACTGCAGATAGTAAATATTTACTATATACCAGTTATGAATGGATAGACACCTCTGAATGAACCAACTCATGAATGAAAAGGAAGTGATGTTAAGCACTTCCTGTTCATTCATAACTGGGGACACGTAGTTCTATGTGTCCCCAGTTGTTTACAAACATCGAAGTGATCAGCGATCACTCCAGTGTTTGTGCTGCACAGAGGATCAGTAAATATTACACATATTTACCGATCCTCTGCTCGGCCATCCTGAAAGTGACAGGAGCCGCTCAGCCATGCACAGAGCCGCTTGGCCATCCTGGTGGCTCTGCAATCTTCTCCCTGCTCATCCATCCTGATTACAATGCTCCCTCCTCTGCCACCCTGCTGGCTTCAGTGCTCCATTTCTCCTTGGATCTGAGGAGAAGCTGCAGGCTTTGCCGACCCTCTACTCCCTGCCACCCTGAGGCCATGGCCTCGGTGGCCTTGCCTGCAGCCCTGCCTGCAGTTTGAGTCATAGCGAGCTGTGTTGGCTGCCTGGTGCCCATGTTGCAATGGTGCCCTGTGCGGCTACACAGCTCACACACCCCAAAGGCCGGCCCTGCCAGCATTTCAGGTAAATTCAGTTCAGTAAATTCAGTTCAGTCCACGTCTTGACAGTAGTGGACTATGCCACCCCAGGGACTGCCCAGAGCTGCCAATGCAACAACGTTTCTTAACCCTGGAGAGGGTTTTCCAGGTGTAATTTTCTCCCAATCAAAGGGTTTAAGGGGTGTGTTAGAGATGTGCTGGAGTATTTCATTTTATGTCCAGTGGACAAACCCTTACTGCCAACTATCCTGGGCACAACAATATTTCCAAATAACAACATTTCCCAATTCGACAACTAGCATATTATTTAGCAGAGGGAAATTACAATTTGTTACCAAATATATAGATCTTATGCATGTTTCTCTTAGGAGGTCTAATGTGTCTTGTTAGCCTTTTGGACCTACATTTGGCCTAATTGGTGTCTAACAAATTAGTGCCTTCTCATCCTTTAGTGTTACCACTTTTTATGAAGTTACCTCCATTACAGTAGGATTTATGTAATATTAATTAGAGTAAAGAAATTGAGATTCTAAAAGTTCTGTTTTCAGGTCTAGGGTTTTTTTTTTATAGCTAGTGGGAGATTCTGAGTCTTCAGCTGGTCTGTGTTTTATCAAATGCAACACCTTCTATGACCTTTTTACAGACATGAGATTTAAATCTGACAGTTTTTGTTACTGACTTGAGAATTCTGGGGGAAATGAGGGTGACACTGTGTTCAGTACTATTTTCTATTCTCTGCATTCAGCTTGGCGTTCATTAGACCTCACTATCGTCACACTGATTGTGTGGCCCACAGCTACATTCATGCTGGGTTTTCTTTCCAGTGAGAACACTGAAATAGCTGATTTACTCTTATTTCATTGTAGTTTCCCCAAGTTGCTATGACTAGATACTTTTAATACAACATGCGTTTTTTATTGTGGTGCCCATAATATTATAGTATTAAGCTGCCCATACACCTTGCGCTCATCGGACGACACTTTTTGTCCGATGATCGAATCGTCATACGATTTTCGCATGGCGGCCTCATCCTGCCCCGATTATCGCAAGGTTGGATCATCGGTAATTAAAGGAAAGCACCCGGACAAATTGCGGTAAATCGTACAAATTTTTACGTATGGAAACGCCATCAACCTTGCGAAAATCGTATGATCGACCAAAGATTTCTAACCTGCTGGTTAGTGAAAAGTCGATCGATTGTACAGTATTTGCGGTTGTACACTGCCCATCAACCTTACGAATATAGGACGAAAACGCAATTGCATACGAAAATCGTGTATGGGAACCTAAAAGGTGCCCATACACTGCACGATTCTCGTACGAGAATCGCGGGAAATCCCGCGATCGTACGAGAATCGTGCAGTGTATGGAAGGTGTGCGACCATTCCTACTTTACGGTCGCACGACTTTTGTATTTCGAGCATGTTGGAAGACCAGCCGAGAATCGTACGATTTTCGGCTGGTTTTTAACATGATCGAGAGACAACTGCCGAACGGGGCGGTGTGGGCACGCGCACACTTCCCTGTTCAGAATTGCAGTCATCGGAAGCCCCGCCCCTCAGGGGGGCGGGCTTGCGATGATCACAAGTACGATCTGCCTGTCCAAGATGGGCAGATCATACGTTTTTTAAATTACTTAAATTACCATAGCTTCGGCTAATCCTTCGGCTCACTTCGGCCACCGGAGCCCTTCGGTTCAGTTGAGCCGAAGAGCTGCTGTACGGCTATTCACAATAGTGACAGCCGAAGTGGGGAGAAGGTCGCCCGAAGCTGACTGTTCTTACCGCAGATGACAACAATTCCTAAGTTAGCATCACTTTAACTCTTGCAAGAGTGCTCACCCTCAAAATAATATTATTTGTTAGCCACTATACTGGCATAGGTGTAGCAGTTAGATTAACCCTGCTACCAGCAGTCAAATCCATACAAAGGCAACAATAATTTCATAATGGTGAGCATAGGACACTCATTACCAGTGTTGGATAAGTGCCTGCACAGTACCGCATCTCAAATTTTTTTGCTCTGCAGACAGCCATACCTCCTAGTGGTTCCTCATTTGGAGGGACTGTCCAGGGGCGTCCCGAGGGTGGGTGTCACCCGGTCTCCAGACTGGGTGACACCCCGCCTTGTCGTCATCACGCATGCGCGGCCATCTGATTGACGCCTGACACTGTCAGGCTCTCGGTCCATGACAGAGTGCCTGACTTTTAGAGGGAGTGACACCAAAATGACTGAGAGTCATTGTGACGCCAGAAGTGATGTTTCCAGTAGTAAAATGCAGAAGACTTTTCAGACAATCAGAAACATTCTGTAAGAGTGTTGATGAATAAGCAGAACAGTTGAAGAAGATGTAACTGAAAGGGTATTGTGGTGGAAACAACTGGTGTCCACTTTGATAAATGTGCCTTTCATAGATTACTTATGTTCTACTACTGATTTTTGGCTTTTCTAATAGGTCTGGTTTCAGAATCGCAGGGCTAAGTGGAGGAAAACTGAGAGAGGCAGTGAGCAAGATGGATCAAAAGAAGGTGCAGCTGAAATTACTTCCCCCTCCAGAAACCTTAATTCGCCCTCTACTGGGGAACCAGCCAGGGCAAAAAAAGAGAGTTTGGATGCACACCAGAGGTAATGGCTAAATAATAAGATAAGTATTATGTGGGGAAACAATCTAAATCAAGGTGCCACACAACTTCCTTTCAGGCTGCCTGGAGAATCTAAGGTCTGGCAAAGACAGATAAACATTTCAGATAGAGATAATAATATCTGCCTGTCCATAGATAACAGAGTTCAAAGGCTACATGACACTTACCAACAATGTTTTGCAATGATAGATGTAGTTTATACACAATGAAAAGCAGTTCCTTTTAATGTAGAAAACGGAAGAATAAAGAATCTCTAACATGAGATGTTCCAGCATGCTGGAACATAACTTCAACATCACTACAGTAATCCATTATTCTACATCCACTCAATTGCAAGATTAATATATATTGATATAAGATATATGATTGATATAACAATATCTGAAGGAGTTAATAAAAACAAATAGCTACGATTGGTAATACAGTACATACATAGTATAGGTGTATAGCTGTTTTTCTACAATAATTTGTAAGAAAGGAGTAATTTACTAAATGAATGGAGTTTAGAGAATGATGTGTAGTCAAGCGAGAAATTCACTTTGCAAAGAATACCCAAACATTTGCAAGGAATGTTAAAGAACAGGATTTTTGCAAGATCATGACTGGATTATTGAAGTCAACACAGCCTCATCTCATTCACGACGCTAAGTGAATTTTAACTTTTATAAATAACATTTACTCTTAGCTTAGTGAATGAGCTGAATGCTTGCTAACCTTAAACATTCAATCATCTGAAAGCAAAAATCCTATTTTTTAACTTTCCTTGCATAATTACTTACTTTTTGCAAAGTGAACTTTCACTTAGATACACCTTTTTCGTTGCACGATTGTAACAGAGTAGCATGACATTACTCCCCCCTCCCAAAAAAAAGGAGATCCAAAAAGGATACTAGATATCACCTCTTAGTAACAAAAGAAGTATGAATTTATGTATCACTATATACAGCAAACGAATAGACAAACATTTAAAACATCCTAAAAATGTCTACCATACCAGCCATGGCTCTCATATATTGCTATTAATTAGGGCTGTGAAAATTAAAGATTAATTTCTCGATTATTCGTTAAACTTTTTGATCGATTACAATTATTTTGATCGCTAATGAAAACACTCACCTCTCCGCCGGCTTCCGGGAGTCCTGTTGGCGATCCGGTGACGTCACGGACATCGACGTCACCGGACTCCTCCCCCAAGTAGCTCCGTCGGCTAACAAAGGGAAGGGGGGAGGAGTCCGGTGACGTCCATGTCCGTGACAGCTAACGAAGGGAAGGGGGGAGGAGTCCGGTGATGTCGATGTCCGTGACGTCACCGGACTCCTCCCCCCTTCATTAGCCGACAGAGCCACTTGGGCCGGTGAGTTTGCCCAAGAACCTTACTGCACGAGCGCCAGCCAAGGCACACACACACATACACATACACATACAGATACAGATACAGCACAGCAATTAAGTAATAAAATGAACTAGGATCACACTAATCCAGCACGTTATTATTCTGAGCTTCCCCACTCAAGCGGCGGCCATATTGAGTGGGGCACGTGAGATTAATAACGTGCTGGATTAGTGTGATCCTAGTTCATTTTATTAATTCATTGCTGTGCTGTACGTGTATAGGCCAATGTAGTTAGATCTGTATGTACGTTATAATTAATCGAAATTAATCGATTTTAAAAAATTTCAATTAATGGAACACAAAAATTTTAATCATTACCAGCCCTACTATTAATGTGTGTAAATCCAGTATCATAAATGTAACAATGTAATTATACCCTCATTAGAGAGACCATATACCAGAGGGCCAGTAATTGAGTATGAACAGATACTTCAGGAGTAAATGTATGCACAGATCATAAGAATGCTTGAATATCCGCAATATCCGCAAAGGTAGATATATTGTATCCGTGCCCATATAGTCAGCTTATATAAATTGATATGAGATAAGTTTGTACCAGAGAGATGGTATATTCATCAATTGCTCCAGGTCATGCATGTAGAACCACATCAGAGGTTAATATCTGATAAACTTCATAGACATACCGTCCAATGCTAGACCAGCACTCTCTGGAAAGGTTGATCAGCAGATCCTGTATGTAGGCACTCAGACTACTGTCCGTTCGGAGATGCTATGCATATCTTATCTGAATGACAAATGAGATCCGTATGGTCTGGATCCAACTAGCAATCAAGTGTTGGACACACAGTCCTCAATGATGGACTCCATTTTAGCTTGTATAAAAGTTATGGCTGGAATCGGTCAATTTGCCATGGCTGGGGAGCAAACTGGCCACGCTTCAACCCTTACGCGCTTCTCCCCACATAGGGGTTTTGTCAGAGGGGCGTAGTCTGCATCACAACACACCTGTAGTCTTTTATATCATCAGTTGATCAATTCCTGGAGTGCTACGCATTCAGGGTAAATTCAAAACAACCCCCCATCCTACTATGGATCTCCTCTTTTTGTGGGGAAGTAATCTGTCCAATATGATATTTTCTAGTGAGACACAAATAGGTTGATAGATTCAAATAATATTATTGCACTGCTGCCTTTAAAAACTCCTCTTTTTGCTAATGTAACATGAAATGTTATTGGCATGAAGATGATTGTCTGAATCCTTGAAGCTGCACTTTATTAACACCCTTTTATATCCTGTTTACTCCCAGGTGTCTAAGTCACGACAGGGCAGTGGCTCCAGCAGCATCATTCTTTCCTTCCTGTCTGCCTGGAGCTATTTTAAACACTGCCAGCTATGCTCAAGCTCTGTCACATGTAGCATCTCTAAAAGGTAAGTACTTAAACAGCACTTCTGATAAAAACATTTGTCAAAACTGTTAGGGCATAATTGTTGTTTTGCTAGTATGAAACTCTTGCAGACAGGGGTTGTTAAGATTGTGAATAGGGATGGGTTGTATGTTCGAGTCGAACATGAGTTTGAGTCGAACATCGCTAGGTTGAGCGTTCGCTGAACGTAAGAACTTTGTGGGATGTCCGCGGTCTGTTCGACCGGGCAACATCCCACAAGGCAATGAGCCTTCTGAAGCTCTAATTGGGTAAAGGCTTGCACCTGACCACAGGTCAGGTGCAAGACTTTGCCCAATCAGGGCTCAGAAACTCTGTTAGAGCCATGATTGGGCAAAGTCATGATGACTTTGCCCAATCATGGCTCATAAATAAGTTCCAGCAGCACACTATATAAGGTTGCTTACACCGCAGCCCTACGTAGTGTGTTGCAGGAGTGAAAAGAGAGAGGATCTATAGCAGAGTTTTGTAGCAGAGTTTTGTAGCAGAGGTTTGTAGCAGAGGTTTGTAGCAGAGGTTTGTAGCAGAGGTTTGTAGCAGAGGTTTGTAGCAGAGTTCTGTAGCAGAGTTCTGTAGCGTTCTATATCAGAGTTGTATACAGCGTTCTACATCAGAGTTGTATACAGCATTCTATCTCACAGTTCTATACAGCGTTCTATATCAGAGTTGTATACAGCGTTCTATATCACAGTTCTATACAGCGTTCTATATTAGAGTTGTATACAGCATTCTATATCAGAGTTCTATACAGTGTTCTGTACTATAGCAGTCAGTCATACTGGTCTATTATAGCAGTCGATTATAACAGTTGATTATAACAGTCAATTATTGCAGTCTATTGCAAAAAGCATCGTGTCGGAAAGGCGAAAAAGGACAGACTGCCTCCCCAAGCAGTTGTTTAACCTCCCTGGCGGTATTCTCGAGCTTAGCTCGAGGTTACTTTTCCATACCATAAGCGGTAAGCCTGCGCTACACTCGGGAATGCCGCATAGCATTTACTTACCTTGTCCCTCAAGCCGCGCTGTGTTCTCCGGCCGATGCCAGCATCCGTCCTCCGGGTTCCGTCGATTGCAAGAGTACGCATCGCAGGGGGGTGGAACCGGCGGGATATTCAAAGAAAAAAATGACAAAGACGAAAGAAAAGCGAAAAATAGACCGAAAAATTACATGAAAAAAAAGAAAAAATCATACCGCCAGGGATATATCCTCACTGGAAGGCTACCATAAGTGATATATGTTGGGGAAAGAACCGACTAGGTATTCATGTAGTTCTATTTGGTTTCACTGATGGTGTGTGGCTGGCTGCATGCCTCCATAGCGATCCCTACTATGGAGGCATGCAATTCTTGTAGTTCTATTTGGTTTCACTGATGGTGTCTGGCTGGCTGCATGCCTCCATAGTGATCCCCATAGGGGATCACTATGGAGGCATGCAGCCAGCCAGACACCATCAGTGAAACCAAATAGAACTACAAGAATACCTAGTCAGTTCTTTTCCCAACATATATCACTTATGGTAGCCTTCCAGTGAGGATGGCTGGATGATTGGATGCCATCTCTCCCTATACGACCCTGGGATCCCGATTGTGACACAAAGGAGATTGTGGAGGTGGTTTTTGGATTTATTCGGCTTCCGCTCTCTCGACCCTCCAAGGCACTCGACCCTCCAAGTGCCTCCCTTGCCTCGCAAATTAGCCCTGCATGATCCATTTGTTTGGGTTCCCCTGATGAAGCCACTGGCGAAACGCGTCGGGAACTATTAAGTTAAGCCCTCATAGGGACATTTACAAATCTGTCAAACTTGTGATTAATGTCATGCTTTTTACCTTGAACAACTTGGATCACATCAATATGTATGTACTAAATGAATGCCTATACAAGCAAATCCCATGCAGGGTTTTTGTTAGATACATGAAATGCTCTGTTAGATATATGAAATGCATAGTTTTTTTAATATATTATACAAAATAAAAATGTGTTATATATTTTAGGTGGTGGGGGTCCTCTCCGCACACCTTACAGCAGTCCTGGCCAAATAAGAACGGTGGTGCTCGCAATGACTATCACGGATGGCACCGTGCAAAATACGAAGTAAAAGAAACAGGTCACCAGCACTCGTTTAGAATAAATATGTCCTTTTTTAATGGACAATTGTGTCACTACAATCAACAGAGCCGACGTTTCGGGGCCGCACAGGGTCCCTTCTTCAAGGCAGTAAAATTTAGCACATCTCTCTTGCACCCCCCCCCGGAAACCCTATCCTTTTCTTTTGTATTAATAATGTTTAAAATGACCATGTAATGTACAACATACAGTATTAGTACACAGAATGCAGTGCTCAAAATTACCCAACATACATTATTGTATAAAGTGAGTATCTCTCAGGACTATGTAAGTAGATGGAGAGACCCTCCGCACTCCTCACAGCAGTCCCGGCCAGATAAGAAAACAGTGGTGCTCGCAGTGATGAATTACTACGGATGGCGCCGTGCAAACACAGGAAAACATTTTGGGGCCACGCAGGGTCCCTTCCTCAAGGCAGAAAGATGTTCACATCTTTCTGCCTTGAGGAAGGGACCCTGCGCGGCCCCCGAAACGTCGGTTTATTTGGATGTCTGTGACGCTTTCTGTCCAATAAAAGGGACATATTTATCTTTACTACTGAGTGCTGGTGATTTCCTGACTTCTCAGGACTATGTAACATACAACATAGCGTATATAATGTACAGAAGTCAGGACCGTGTGATGTACATGTAATACCTCTGCAACACACGCCTAGGATCACAACTGCGGAGCAACGTATGCAACGGTTTAGTCAGTGAGTGGTCTCTTTCTTACTCTGTCAGCAAATTAGAGATGTGTATGAGACCGGTAACATCATGTAACTGTGTGGAAGAATGGGGTTAAGCAGGATCACTGTGACACCTTAGAAGCGTCTGACAAAACAGTACTAGGCTCCAATGGTCGGTTTAGGTGCAGCAAGGCAGAATGGAAAGTATGGTTCCTCGCTAGGGTTGGAGTATGCACTCACTAAGTTCTACAGTATGCCCATACACAACTCAACTGATGTGGGCAGTTGCAGGTAAGTATGTTCAGTTCAAGTATGTCCCAGGTGTGGGAAAGGATACCACAAGTGAATACTGATAACAGCAATAGTCCCTCCAGTAAGGCAATCAAAATTCCCAGTAATGTTATACATAAGCAAAATAGCAGTTAGACCCAGGTACTTGCGGTTGTGGAGGTCTCAACAGAGGTGTATCGTAATAGGTGGTAGTTGGGAGGCACAGCTAAGCAGTTATTATCCCCGGTACTTGCGGTTCCGGCCAGGAGGCAATGATAGGTCGGTTCCCCAGTACAACCACTACGGTTGCCAAGGAGGTGGTGGAAGTCTGGGTGAACCCTGGGTCCCTTGTGCGGACTGCGGATGCAGAGAGTGAATCTTCAGCGTTCACTGTCACAAACAGTAGGACGCCGAAGATTCGTCTGGCCGCGGCTTAAGGAGCGTTGTGCACGTGCGCCGTAGGGCGGAGCTACCCCTGATCGCGGCCCCGGAACGATACGGGGTAAGTTTTTTACAGTACAACATAGAATATGGACTGTGGGGTCAGGTCTATGTAGCATTTAGGGTGCAGGAAATAAGCCTATGTAGTGTATAGAGTGTAGCCGTGAGGACTATTTAACATACAACATACAAACAGAGTGCAGTGGTCAGGACTTTGTAATTTATGAAATCCAGTGCAGTGGTCAGAGTATGGAGGTCAGGAGTAAGTGCTCCCTTGTGATTGTGATCAGTAGTGGGTGCCCCCTCAAATACTGGAGATCGGTAATGTGCGTGCACACTTACATTAGCAGTTAGTTTGCCCCCTCACATTGGTGGTCAGTGTGCCCCTACATTACTTTCTCACTTTCCCCCCTTACGTTGGTGGGTAGTGTGCCGCCATATATTGGTGGCCAAGGTCCCCCCTTACAGTGGTAGTCACAGTTTGCCCCCCTTACATTGGTGATCTTTATACGTAGCTTCCAACTGTGCTATATATGAAGGGACTGCCTCTCATTTTGAACCCATCCCTCTGTCCCTCTTTCCTCCCGAGTCTCCACTCTTTTTGGTCTAGAGTGTAGACCACTATAAATATACAGTATATCATTTAACTTTCTAACTAACATTATACTGCACTAAATTTGACTTAGTCAAGACTCACCCTCCATGTTGTTGCATTAGTTATTTTGATTGGCTAGTATAAAGCAAAAGTAATGGTGAAAAAAAATCACTTCTGTTTAACCAATCATTTTGTTGTATTCATTCTCCATGGCCTGAGCATAACTAGGATTGTTACTTGCTTAAATACTTTGTTTGAAAAAGTATTCCTCCTTCTCACCTCATAAAGATGGGAGGTATGCATATATGGAATTGTGTGCTACAATGTAGGCGAAAATGCCAGACCATGCTCTGCTACTACTAACCAGGCCTAGGCCAAGAGTGCTTATTGTTGACTAGTTATTAGTGGACTTGTGACCCATCCGACAGGAACAGTGCTTTAGGTCTAGGCCTATTTGGAGTAGCAACCTAAATCTAAAAATTGTTCTGTACATGTATTCTTTCATAATGGAGTTACATTTTTATAAAGCTATGCTACAGAGTCAGGAGCATAAAGATGTTACAAAAGTAAAAAATTATTAGTCTGAAAAAGTTATTTTTACATTTCTCGGGTCATATACATGTAAATATGTTGCTAAGCAACATTCAAAGGTAGATCAGATGGTCCAAAAAATATTATTTGGCACCATCATTACAGAAAACATCAAAGGAAGCACTGTTGTCTGTGGTTTTCTGTCCCAATCAATATCTTGGTGCATATACGTGGCAAATACAGGATGATCTTCTGATTGTGTGGTCTAACAGTAGATTTCCTGTCATTGCAAGTATTTACTGCTAAAAGCATCACAGGCCTGTGGATTTCTTCAATTCAGTCATATCATTTAATAGCT